GCACGAGCTCCCTTGTCCCCAGAGGAAGCCACAAGCGCTCCCCGGGCAGCGCTGCCTCCCGTTAACGGAGAGCCACAGCACCCCGCACCGTGCGACGGTGCCACTTCTGACCAAGCGCGTGATGATCTGAGGAGAGATTCAACAAAAGGAAGCTTGCGTTGTCAGAGAGGCAAAACCAAGAACCACCACCTTACACCGGTGGTGGTCTTGGACCCTCAAGAGGTGCCGTTGTGGCTGGCGGGCATGAAATGCAACAAAAAGGCAGATATTCAGCCTGCCTGCCAGCAGCCAGTATCTCCTTTGGGCCTTCAGGGAATCTTGGAGAATAAACATAAAAGTACCAAGCGTGTTTCTGGAGAGGGAAGTACCTGTAGAAAAGCTTGCATCAGCGGCTTCAGTGCCAGCCGGTGGGGGAGGCAAGTAAGGCTCCGTCCAAAAAGGCACAAAAATAACAGACAGCAGAAGCAGCCCAATAATTCCTTTTTCAGATCACAGATGAGGCAAAAAGGAATGAAGAAGGGTGTTCTGGAGATGTCTGTAGATACAACAGACAATGACTATTCGCTCCTCAATAGCTCCCATTCCTGGGGTAGAGTTCGAGCATCTTTGTCCTTCCATAAGAAGAAGAAAGTTACCACAGAAGAGAGTTTCTGCCACAGCATCCTTTGTACCCCTTCTGTGAAATCCTATCTTTCAGGGCACCAAGCAACCCTATCTGCTGGTAAGGCTCAGTGCTGCACTTGGTCTGCTTCCTCCATGGTCCTGCTGGCTCCCAGGAATTCCCATTCTATGCTGGAGCTAACGCTTACAGATGCAGAGAAGGTGTTTGGGGAATGCTACCAGGAGGGGCCTATCACTTTTGAGGAATGCATTCCTTTAGATAAGATGAAAGATTGCAAGAAAATTGGAGAAGGGGTGTTTGGAGAGGTCTTCCAGATCGACAGTGAGAGAGGACCTGTGGCCTTAAAAATAATTCCCATTGAGGGGACTGAAAGAGTAAATGGTGAAGCTCAAAAGAGCTTTGGAGAGATTCTGCCTGAAATAATAATTTCGAAAGAACTCAGTCTTCTGTCTGAAGAGTCTGTGAATAGGACTGTTGGGTTCATCAGCTTGTACTCTGTGCACTGTGTTCAAGGGGCCTACCCTAAGTATCTCCTGGAAGCCTGGGACAAATACCACAAAGTAACAGGATCAGAAAATGATCGGCCAGACCTTTTTGGGGACGAGCAGCTCTTCATGGTTCTGGAGTTTGAATTTGGAGGCAGTGACTTGGAGAATATGAGAAAGACGTTGAGTTCAGTGGCATCAGCAAAAAGCATTTTGCACCAGGTCACTGCTTCCCTGGCTGTGGCAGAACAGGAACTGTGCTTTGAGCACAGAGACTTGCACTGGGGGAATGTGCTGGTAAAGGAAACTGATGTAAAGGAGCTTAATTATGTGTTGAATGGGGCAACGCACACAATCCCCACAGCAGGGATTCATGTCAACATCATAGATTACACCTTGTCTCGGCTGGAGAAGGATGGGTTAACTGTGTTTTGTGACCTTTCCACTGATGAAGAACTGTTTCAAGGCACAGGGGACTACCAGTTTGATATCTACAGGCAAATGAAAGCAGAGAACTCCAACAGCTGGACTGACTATCATCCACACAGCAACGTCCTCTGGCTGCACTACTTGTCGGATAAACTTTTGAAAGACATGAGGTACAAGAAAAAGGAATCAACTTCTGCCATGAGGAAAATAAAGCAGCAGCTCAGGAAGTTCCACAAAGAAGTACTGACCTTTGAGTCGGCCAATGAAGTTTTACAAAACAGCAGCCTCTTCCAGTGAGCAAGGGAGTGCAATGTTTCCAAGAACTAAGTCACTGATACTGCCTTTCTCCTTTGCTGGTTTTTTACGTATGATTTTTTTTAAATGTTGGCACAATGAAGAAGTGTTATGGTCAATTACCAATGTGTATGATACGCTATCAAAAATGGCTAAAAAAAACCTGAAAAAAGAGTTTTCTGCCTTAAGATGTTTCCATATGTACTTTTTTTTGAGGGGTGATGGTGGGGGAGAGAACAGAGTTGACATTTGAGAAGGTGGGGGAAAAAAAGACTTCTTTGGGCTCAGTTAGTGTTTTGAATTTCACGGAAGTTTTCTTACCTTTTTAATCTTAGATTATTAAAAATTCTTTCCTTACTATGTTGTCTTTCTTACGAATTCTTTTTTTAAAGAAAAAGAAAAAAAATTCAATTCTGGACAGTGAGGACAAAGGTAAGTATTCTGAGCCCAGTTGGGGACAGAGAGGGAAAAAACCCCACCTTCTGACTTAATTTTAAAAATGAACTTTTGTTCAGTTTGGCAAAACTTGTACCTGGAATGATGCTACAAAACGTCAGTACTTAAAGTTTCTGTAGTAGGTTTTAAAAACACTCTAATCTGCAATAACATGATTTTTTTTCTCTGTAAGGACCAGTGAAGAGGTATTGGATTAAGAAAAAAATAAGAAAAAGTACCTGTGTTCCTGATGCACTTTTGACCGTTATTATGTTGTGACCTTGTATACTGATAGGAACCCAAATCTGTAACTTGATGGTAGCGTTAAAGCGATTTTCTCCATTTATCTACAGAAGAAAATGCACAAGGTAATGAGTGTTCTTTAGTCCTGACTGCAGATGGATCAGATGACCTAAATTTGAAGCTATACTTACATTAAACTTGAATTCTTTGTTTTCACGAAGTCCTTTGCTAACATTCATGTACATTAAAGAAACTGGTCTAAAGAGAATGATAAATCAAACTAAGTGAAAAGTGAATTGGACTATTATTAAAAATTAGTACATCCAATGACCCAGATGCATTCAGTAATTAAGAGGTAGCATCATCAGATTTGTTATAACTGGAATGCTGTCTATGAAGTCTGTCTCTACATGCGTGTATATATGCAGTCTATCAACCAGATGCATCTTTGAACCTATCTTGAAGTCTGCTTTTTACAAGGTAAGCAGTTAGAGACCCTAGGTACCCCCCTGCCTATGATACGGTTTTATTGTTCTGTCTTCCAGGCTCTCTACTTTTGCTGTCCAGTACCACAGAAACCAACTTGCCAATCTGCAGTGCTTGAAATTATTAAGATGGAAATTGTATTGGAATCTTACCAGGAATCCTCTCAATCTTTTTTCCTCTAATTGACTAAAGTAATGCAGTATAATTGAATATTCTTAAAACTTACGCGGTAAGGACTGAAGTGAATGCATATCTGACATCAAGGATGTGTTCTTCAGTCAGAGTGGTGCTATTTTCATTTATGCTTAAAAAAAAAAAGGATGGATGAAACAACATTATTATCTGCCTGCCTTGGTCCTTTATTTCTATGGTTTGAGAACTGCTAATATTGGCTGTACAATAGGGATGGAAACAGAGTGGCAGTAATTCATGAAAGGAGAGGTGCCAGCCCACTTGGTGACATGGTACAGTAGTGTTGGAGTAGCCCTTTCTAACTACAGATTTTGAAAGCTGCCAGTGCCCTGAAACGTTTCCCCGCAAACTAACCCTAATTTATGAATATGTAGTATTGCTTTCGTTAATCAAAATTTAAAGCTTCTAAATTTAAAGCTTCTACCCGTCACAAAACTGGACATTAAATTCATATAGAAACCTTTGCCTTAAACTGTGCTTGCAAGGAAGTGTAGCTGCCACAGGTGAGTTCTCATTTTCTTTTTAAAGATGCTCTCTGAAAAAATGCTGTGTACTAGTCAGTCCCCATAGATTTTAAAGGCATTTGAATGGTAACTCCCCCCCATTAGAAAGCCCCTAATCAAGGAAAATGCCCTGAACATATGTTCTCATCCCAATCATTTGGAGTGAAAGCTTTACTTGGACCAGAGCTGGATTATATATTATATATTTTAATCATCTGTTCTCTCTGCTCAGGAAGGAGGATGCCAGAACCCAGTTTGCCATTTCAGAAAACACGCGCTTTTAAATATGAACTACACTTAAATTAGGACCTTAAAGGGCGCTCCATCTTTTACTGAAATAAAGAAGTATGAGCAAAGCTAAAATTATCATAAGGGAAGGGAAGATTTTTTCACATGGATCCAAATGCTTTAGAAGGTTGAAAAGAACAAGTATAGTTTTGTGTAACCAGTGACTGATAAATAGTATGGACACCCAGTAGAAATTCTGATCAGTTTCCTTTCTAGTTCACAGTGTATTTTGTGAAAACAGCAATACTCACTTGGTGATATTAATGGTGATTGCAGACTTATTTTGGAATATGCTTTCATCTAATTGCCAAATCACTGAAAATTTTGCCTATTTTGAGGGAAGAGAAAGACATAACAAAATATCGATTACCCTGTAAAAACTCTTTAACTCGCCAGGGTACTGTTAAAACATGATGGCTAATGTATTTTCTGCTCATCATTCCCTTCTGGAAAAATTAGACATTAAGTGCAGGAATATGAAAATTACCTCTTGCCTTGAGAAAATGCAAGCCGGCCATAAGCTGAATTAGAAAGAATAGCAGCTCTGGCCTAATTGTAGAGATAGAGGATGCAAGGGCAGCTACTCAAAGTATCCTTTAGAAGTAGGGAAAAAGTGAAAATAATGATCTCTACTTACAGTTGTCTTCTTGAGTACTGGATGGCCAATTCTGCAGTTACAGGATAAGACTACAGAAGTTAATGGTATTGGTTGGCCACAGTGAATAGCAGGAGAGGATGGCTGCCAACAGAATAGGAATGCTCTTTAATGTTGAAATAAAACAGACTAGGAAATTCAGCTCTCCCTGTGTCCGCTCCCATAAAACGAATTAGGTACAAATAGCCCAATAAAAGCTCGGGAGTCTTAAATCAGATAAATCCAGTATTCAGGCTCTACTCCTAACAACTGAAATGTTCCTTCCCTGGACCTTACTCCAAGATTTAATTAATAGGAATCTGTGCTGGGTTTTCTTTCAGCAGTCTGCTGCTAGCTGAAGAGTTGTTCTACAATCTTACCTCAACAGTCACCTTCTTAAAATGTAGGGTTTTAGGATAGTTCAAGACCATAGTTGTCATGTACGAGTCATCTCCACTGTTTGTTAGCGAAATGTTCATGGTCACTTCTTCAGTGTGCCCCACCACTAATTCCCTTCTAGAAGCAGACAGAAAAATGTGACATGTAATCTCTAAGGGCTGTTATTTAGTAAGAGGCCCAAAGCATTCCAGTTCTGGTAATTATTCCCTCCAAAAGCTTTCACACACCGGATAATGCAATAGCCTAATTAATTATTCAGTATTCTTCAGGATGTGTAGGAAAACATTGAAGGCAGTCATCTCTAAACTTCATCTAACATTTTATCATTTGTTTTACATCAAGATAGATTTTAAACACTGTTCCACTTGATTAGCTTTTCAGTGCATCTCCAGGGTAGCTTTTTTACAATGAAGTGATGCCTACTGTTTTGTCCAAGGCTATGTAAACTGAGCAGCTCTTTGCTGTAGGGCTATGCTGTGCATCAGCTTAAAACAAAATCACATGTTCACAATTAAATGCCAGAATTGTGATTTTTAGGATGACTATAGTTGTTTAAACCTTGGTCTTTCCTCCGAGATTTCCTAGAACAGCCCAGCAACACCTGTGGAGGCATACAGTTACAGCATTGTATGAATGCGATGTTACGGAAAGGGTGAATTGAATGGAAAGTAATGTAAACAAAAGGACAGCAAATCTTGTCTGAGAATTTGAAGAAAACATCTTATGCACAAAGATGACATTTCATATGAATGCTAAATGCAAAATCTGGATAATTTGTGACTCACTGAATCTGACTTGTCAAAGTTAAATGAGCAGTACAGACAGTCTTGTTGTTGCAGTCCTTCTTGTAAGGCAACTGAAAGCAAACACAGATCAAGTCAGATTTTAACAGTCCTAACTTTAAGATAGCAGATTCAGAATGTCTTTACATATACACATACACATACATTCTCTGAAAACTAAAATTCCCGTTACCTCCATTAAGGAGAAATTAGAACTAAAAGACCCTCTAGTGATAAGCAATCCCAAATTGATGATATTTTGTAATTCAACTCCCAGGAGAAGGTCTATTAGCAATAACATGAAAAGTCTTCACTGGGGACAAGGTCTTGTTAAGGAAATACCAGTTGTTTACCCTTGGATTGCCACAGGGCAATAATAATTTCTTTTCCAGGAATGATATGTTTTTCTTGAACAAATGTTCATATGCTGTGCCAGCTTATAGGCACTATTTTGTAGCGATGAGGTTACTTCCTTTAGCGATAGTTTTATTCACCAGTAAAAATCTACTGTCTGGCTGATATTTCTGGAGAAGTTCAATGATAATTAGATGTTGGGTGCATAAGTACTAAGCAATGCTGACCAACACTCAATAATCTCATGAATTATTTTTAGGAAATCACGTACCATCAACATCGTAATCCCTAGGAGTACTGCAACTACAGTAATTAGTGTTTATTATTGCTAAATGTTGTGCTAACTTCTCTGTCCTATGCTTTATGGACAGCTAATTAAATACTGAATTGTGGTAAAGACTCCTATTAAGTAGCAAAATTCTGCCTCTTTACAGAGCTTTGTGGAATTTTTTCAGGAGCTGTGATTTGATTTTAGACTAACTGTGAAAAAGAGGTAGATTAGCCTGTAGGAATCCTGCTACTAAAGTGCAAGAGAAGAAACAGGATATCAAACTTAACCTTTAAGTTTATTAGAAATTCGCAGCCTCCCAAATAGTGCTTTGAAACACACAACTAAAACTAAAAACAAATACATAATTTTAATAATTTTTAAAATCACTTCATTAGAAAATTGTATAGTTGTTACTACCAAATACACCATTCAGATAAGTCTTAACATAAGTTCCAATGGAGAGCTCAATATGTGAAAAATACTTCACAAAACACACAAACCATCTGCCTTCTTCACAGGTAGCACCTAATCTCATTTTATACAGAGGCACAGGAGAAATGTCATGGTCAAAAGTAAAGCAATTTTTCAGCAGATCTGAGGTTGGACCTTGGGGATGAGATTCTCTTAACAAGATAGGAGTATCTCTTTGGGGGAAACCTGGGCCTAAAGTCTGCCCAGAATACAGTATGGATAACTAGAAAGGGAGCAGAAGATGACATGCAAAGGCCAAGAAAACCACAATTTAGTTTATTCATTTATTAATAGTAAAAGCTTTGCATCCTGGAAAGAGAAGTAGTTCTTTGCTAGTGTTTTGTTTTATTACCTGAAAATGCATTTCTGATGGCTTGTATCTATCCAGCACAGGAACAGCGAACTCAGTGTTATCATTTTTCTTATAGAGCTCGTGTTTAACTCTCAGGAAAACATTGGTAAAACAGTCAAAGTCACACGGCTACAAGGAAGGAAGAACAAGAAGCTGAGAAAATATCTGGGCATTAAAATGCAGAAGTCTTCACACGTCATCTCTGTTCCAGCTTCTATTATCTGGCATACTTAGGGACATTCTGGCTCAAACATTTTCTTTGGGCCGCTGCGTTTAATAGCCAACAGTGGACTGTAGGCTTGTCAAATGTTGTTTTGGATCATTTTATACATTTGGATCCCATGACATCCCCTGGATAATGTATTCGGTGATTCAGTTACACATTGTGAAAAAGTTTCCTTATGTTTGCTTCAATCCTGTAGAGCTTCATGCCTTTCCTACAATTCTAGGATTAGAAATACTTTACACGCAAAAGGAGAGAGTTTGATTTATAGCAACACAAACCAAAATGGCACATGACACATCTGCCTCAGCTGTAAAACATGCTCAGCAAGTCTAAAACAGAAAACCCCACCCCACTGTAGTATTTTTACATTTCAAGAAAGACTCATCATCATGCAGATTCTGGTAAAAAATCCTTTCCTCTTAGCCCTTCTTTCTGTAGTAAGTCTGACCAACATCACCTACCAGCGTGTAAAGCTGCAGCTCGGAGCACGTGTGCTTGCTGACCAACAGCTTTCCACTCGTTGTCATGTTCTGATCTTCAAACTGTAATCTCTTCTTTACCATTTTCACATCTAAGTCCACCGTGTAGAGAATGTATAACTCTGAAAACACTGCAAGATTTTCAAAATCCTTTGTTAGATGTACCAGAAGTTGTCCTCGGTGCCAAGTTTCCGAGGACAGTGTAGGACTGCAGATTTCAATCTGATCACAATTCCCATTTATTACCTTGTTGAGACACTGGTAAAGCTGAGATTGTATCAAAACATAGTTTTGCTGTAACAATGCTGTTATTTTGGAAAATTGGGATTCTCTCAGGGTTGAATCTCATGCTGGTGAGAAAGTGGACAACTGCTCTCGAGCTAGTCAGTCAAGAACAGATAAGGAACAAAATCAAATACAAATTTTTGAACGGGAACATTACAGAAAAGATGTTTTAAGAAAGCCTGGCAGCAAGAATAAGAACTGCTCAGTATTTCTATGGTATTTCACCTGGACCTAGCTGGCCTATTTACAGAAGTTCCAGTTTCTGCTGGGAACATTCAGAACATACAAAAGTCCCAAGAGTCTTACGGAACAGACAGCCAAACTACACCAATATGGCTACAGTTTCAGAATTAAACACAGTGTTTATGTTTCCATTAGATAAACACATTATCTAGCTGTTCAAATTCTCTCTTTATCTACAATTTGTTTTCAAATACAAAATGTAAGAACAAAATCAAATCTGTCTGCCATGTCTTAGCCTTTGTGAACTCCATGGGTCACTCAGCTACAGATGTCTGATTGAAAATGAGGTACGGTCTGTCAAGAAATTATTTTTTTGTCTACATGACCTATGTTATCAGTGCTGAATTGCAGACATCAAGGTCTTCCAAGACCTAGATCTATGTTAATCAGTTCATGTTCACTATCTCACACTTGTCCAAAGCTTTAGACGTGCAAAGGCAAAAGCCTTTGCAACTGGGACTAAAGGCTTTACATTTTATATAATTTCTAGCACTGGGAAATATTTTTTTATGTCCCTCTGATGCTGAATTAAAAATAGAATCATTACACAGTGCTTGGAACAGAGATTCTATATTTGTCTTTGAAGCATTTCCCCAGCACACTAAAAAGTAGCACTCGTTACCTACCGGAGCACAACCACATTCTCCAGTGATCCTACTGTAATATCTTGGAGGCCATCATTAGTGAAATCAAAGCCACCATCAATGGATTGTCCAAAATACTGGAGTCCTGAAGAAATTTCAGAGGCTTTTACTCTCTAAAAGCGGGGGAAACATCAACAAATATAAGTCAGGATCTCTCTCTTGCCCTTTGGAAAATATATTTCTTTTCACGAGGCTGCTGTACAGATGATTTTGTGACACTTGTGAGATGCAAAATACTGACTCTTAACTTCCTGTAACAGACAGGCAGGCTTGCAAAAGGCTATGCTGTTCTATAGGCAGCACCTGAATCCAGCTCCTTGCCTAAGCAGACAGGCGAATAATTACAATTAAGGAGCAGCTCTGCTGCAGAAATCTGTGGAATCACATAAACCATCAGACATCTCAAATTTCTCACCCATCAATGCAAATGAAATGTGGAAGTCCTTCCTCCCAGCCTCTTGCTACAAAAACACAAGCTTTTCCCTCTTGAGGGGTAGTGGTGGCAATTCCCAACAAGACACGTACTTGAGAAAAAGAGCTCTTGATCTTGTCTTTATCACCATTAAAGATGTAAATGCTGCCAAAAGAGGAACTGTATGAAAGGTGATCTTCAAGGGGGGCTCCAACTGCAATATCCTCATATCCATCCCCATTGATGTCTCCAATGGTGGCCACTGTAAACCCAAATCTTGCAAAAGGAGAGGTCACCTGCACATTTAAGTGTCCTTTCATGGTGAATGAACCAGTCTGAAAAAAATCCAAGAAGGAAATCCATTTATAGCAAATGTAGCATGAGTAGCTCTTACATGGTGGTGGTGGGGGGGAATCTTACTGCACACGTATAAAGCTTAAAGATGAACAATAAAGCCCTAAACAATGTAATAAGAAGTCCAAGATACCAGCTGACTCTCAGAACAAAAGCTTGCTCCTTCTGCCTCAAGAGCATGGAAATTCTCCCACAGAAGCAGTGTCTCTGGACAGCCCTATGCAAGCAGACACACTGAAGCACTTTCTTTTCTTAAATCAAGAGCAGATTGAGTTGATCCCCAGCTTGGTTCACAACAGAAACCACCCATCTTCTCCACCCTATTACAGAAATAAGCCACAAGAGGGTGCACGTTATTTGAATTCTAACAGATGCCTGGACTGTTGTTTTCTGCTTCCAACCATCACATGTACGTGCCCTGAGCAAATTTTAGCAGTGCACCAAAGAGGCTTTCTCCTGGTCTGCTGTTAAAGTTTAATTCTCATTCAAAATGATGCAATTAACTTATATCCTGAATATTGTGTAACAGATCCTGTAGCTAGGCCCACAAAATATTTTGTTTTCTACAAGTCCTGGGAAGCAAAGTTTTAGCAGCTACCCACGCACACGTTTATTGCAAGCACTGCAAAGAACGCTGCTTGGCAGAGCAGGGTCTGCACCAACCAATGCCTATGTACAGGCAAAAGACATGACTTTATCATACTGTGGTAAGAATATACCTTAGGTACAAAATGGTTTTATTTTTTTAGTTAGTTCTCTTTTATATTCTAACAACTAAGACAGGACCACTGGCTTCATCCTGCAGTCCTCTACCATACAGGGAGAGCACATTCAGTGAGAGCACAAAGGAGGAATGTTTTATTTGTCACTACTTAGGCATGGTTGGAAAATCCTCAACATGGAGTGTTTACGCTACCAGTGTTTTTACCTCTGTCTCCAGGCGATAGACGTAAACCCTTCCTTCTTCCCCTTGAATATGATAAAATGGAGCTCCAACAAGGAGAAGATCTGTCACCCCATCGTGGTTCACATCAACCGGGCAAAGCTCAGAGCCAAAGTAAGATCCAACCTGTGCTCCAGAAAAAGACAAGCAGCTCCTTCACTGGAATTTTCTATATATAGCTGTGTGGAATTAGTGTCCTTTGCAGCAATTTTTAGAACAAAACATCACATATCTACTTATATGTGGATCATTTCCCTATTATTTATTTTATTACAGCCATCCTTAGGGACAGATCCTGTAACCAGTTTAGCAGTAACAAACCCATTATTCAACAGTTTGACACAGGAAAAAAAATACCACAGTTGACGACCTCTTTCCCCAGGAGCCATGAGAACAGAACATAAATATAGTACACCCTGTTTAGCTAAATTTCTTCCCACTCTTTTTCCAAATTTCATGATTTCTTCTGATGTTCCCAAAGCGCATTACGGAGTGAACAAAGACTGTGTAATCCACATCTGGCTAAAGTGGATGCTTGTGTGAGGGTCTAAGTGTGTCTGGAGGAGAAAAAGCAGCTGCTGTTGGAGCAAACGAGATGCGTGCAGCCCTCCTGGCCCCCACTGACCTGACTGCCCCAGGTGAGTGAAGCACGGTACCTGTTCTCCTTGCAGGGTTTGTTTTAATCGGCTGTCCTGAAACACCATCACCTTCCCTGTCATGCTGTGCCGTGGGGCTCCAGCCACGTACAAGGGTCCATATTCTGTGCGTACCACGGCCACGCTGTATCCTGGTGCATTCACACAAGGAGCAAAAATAGCACACGTTATCAGTACCGTACTCTACGCCTGGAGGAAAAAGCCCACAGAGTTTGGACTGACACATGGACCTAGACACTCAATGAGATCCAAGAGTTCGCACCATGTCTAGTTGTGCCCCGTGGTTTTGATTACAGACCACCTCATCAAAATACTGATTAGGAAATAGCAGGTAACTTTTCTGAGAGAAAATCCAGCAAAGCTGAGGTTTTCCTCTCTCAGTGGCTTGTTGGGTAATTGAATAAACTATTGCTCTGAAAAGCATGCTTGAACTCTTGATGACTTTTCTTAGCATTTGTCACAGTTCCTGAGTGATTATCCAAAATACACACTTCTTTTTTTAATTATTATGTCTGCACTGCAAGCTGGAAAGTTCATCACCCTTCACAGAAGTGAAGAACACACTATATTCTGTATAGAAAGCAAAGAGAGATCTGTTATGGGGCTTCCTGTAACAGGGAGGTAATGGGAGAAGGATTATCCTGACACAAACAGTCCACAGCACCTCATATTACCTGGTAAGACTTTATGGCCAAGGCTAGTCAGGAGATACAGGGCTCATGTGGCCACAAAGCACTGGGGTGAATAAGCAAGGCTTTATTTGTCACCAAGCCAAGAACAGTATTGATTCACAAGCTGTTTCTTCTCCAGACACTCACAAGTAGTAAACTATTTTTCCTTATCAGCTCTCAAAAATGCCCTTCATTGCAAGTATTCTTACACAGTGAAACCAAATGGCATGTATTAACAGAATAATACCACAAGGCATAACAACTCATAGGAGAAAACAAGTCGTATCTTCCCCCAAACAGGGAGACAGAGAGTGCTTTCATCAGAACCTCTCTCCCTGCTAGAGGAAACATTCAAAATCCAGTAAGATGCTGCAGGAGGTGGCCTTCTTCAGGTAAATGCTGTCAGTGTCACCATCCTGCACTAAACACAAACAAACTAGGCAAAACCGCAGTCAGGTTGTCATTTGGTCTCAGAGAGGGGTAAGCTGATTACCTAGGTAACTGTGTTTTGCTTTTTTGGCTGCTTCTTTAGATTCATTCAGGAAAACAGCAGTCTTCGTTGCCAGATCATACAGCAGAATTCCACCAGACCAGTCAAAGGCCCCCACCGCACCAAACATTAAGACTTGCTGCAGAAGTAATATACTATAAATTAGAAGAGACGAACAAAGGGCAATTGCCTCTAGCACTCTGCAAAGCCATCTAATAAGAAGCAATGTTTTCTGGCTTACAACTCCTGCAATCTTTCCTGGACCCTGCAGCTTGGGCAGTTCTACCAGCTCCTGCCAGATATTGAAGACAGAGAAGGTGACTGCCCAGTATCAGAGAAGCGGCTGCCCATCTCCCAGCTTACTGCATGAGTTTTTTTGCAAAACTGGATCAGTGTTTTCCTTGCAGCCAAGGCTGATGAATGTTCATTAGCCTCCTCAGGATCCACTATTTCCCTCTCCTGACAAGGACAGAGATCATTCTTGTCCTGGATGGACCAAGGTTTTAAGCCAGGGGATTCCAAAAGAGCAGAATTATTTTATTTGCAACATGACGGACCCCCTGACTTGTGCATTGGAGATGTGAATGCCAGCAAAAACAAAGCTGTCAACTGGAGATAGCTCTTTTGCCCAATGGAATAAAAGGATCCAGTGGTTAGAACAGGAGTGACATGAGATAAATGTTATCCTAAAATAAAATTCACTACTGGCTGTCTATATAAAAGTGGTATTTTTGCTTATCTGACATATTCAAAGCAAGCAGTGGCTTGCAAAGGAGATTTGACTACATGGGTCTCACACTTTTGTATCACCATAATTTCTTGTGGGAGATGTCCTGAATCCTTACAAGTATTGAAGAAGCAGCGTAGCATACAACCGGTTAGCAGGGTTAAATGCAGAACACTTACCTTATCCAAGATCTGCACACTGAAACCAGCTTGTGCAAGCTCATATTCCAGAGCATCACCCTGAGTACCTGAGGATGCAATAAAAACAGGGTAAGCCACTTTCTCCTTATTTCTCAAAAGGTACTAGTGAAATAGAAGGATTGCTGTTTACCTTCTATACCAACAATACTCTGCTGCAGGGTTGAAAGCAGCCCATCTAATGCTGAATAATTGGTCACCTGAAATACATTAGTGTCACCTGGACCAGATGCAATTAGCCGCAATTCATTTAGGGCCTTTGGTTTTTTGAAGGAATCTCCCACCTGCAGAAGAGATGCAAATCAATCAAAAGAAGCAACCTTTAGAGTCTTCTTACCCCCACCTACTTCATTCAACAGTCTGTGGTAAAAACCTCAGCTTCAGCCACTATATGTAAACTCAGAAATAGCAATTGCTTTGGAAGCCAGTCTCAGTGTCTCCTGGAGCCAAACCTTTACAAAACCTCTTCATGTAACTGGCTGGTGCTGTATTTGGTGTATATACCTCTGTTGTACCCAACAATTAATTTTGGAAATCAGCAAGTTACAAGACATCATAAAATTGAACATTTTCCTGTCCTGAAAGAATGAAAAGAGATAGCAGAAAGATTATTTGAGGAGACATATAGCACGTCTGAAACCAAACTTCAGACTTCAGGACAAAGCCTTGTTGACAAACTAACACATGGGCTAATCTGCTGGCCAAGTTAAGAATATATCAGAATTTTTGTTCTAAGCAGCTTAAAATTTTAGAGCGTGCACTTCACCTAGAAGGTAGCTTTAAATTCTTGGCCTAGTTCTGAGTCAGGAGGACTGCAGTTGATAACAAGCAATGAACAACCCCTCGGTTCTGCTATTTTTGTCCTTGGGTGGGCAGGTCAGAAAACCTTTTAATTTTTATTTATCGTTTTGACATTTTCCAGCACAACCTGGATAAGGAAACGTAAATCACACTTTGTGGAGCTAAACCTGACTAAGGTTAAGTACTTTGCCAGATTCGGTCATTCTAGAAAGATTTTTCTAAACTTTGTACAAGGAAGAACGAGATGGTCCAGTCTACTGAAAGCACGACTCTCTCCTGAAAAGTCTGAGAGCATGGGATACAGGGCGCTGAATGTAGTAGGTGTAGGAAGGAACAAACATGGGCATATAATTGACACTACTTAGATTCTAGTATCAGTTCATACCGTAGCTTTATCTTTCACCTCCTTATTTTACACATGCCTCTTCCCTTATTTACTGGAACCAAGCATGGATCAGTTTCTCCTTTTCTCTGCCCCCAGTCCTACCAAGAAATGGAAGGAAGATACGATCCAAGTACATTCCCAACTTACCCCAATGGCATAGCGCTTGATTCCTGCCATTTTGGGTGAATTTATCACTGTTGTCAAATTCATTTCATCCAGGAGTATTTCCCCATCTGTAAGCACAATCATGACCTTGGCTGCATCCTTGCGGGACCCATGACTTTCAGTGAAGATGGAATCCCTGGTAAAACATCCAAACAAAGAACTTGGGATAAAAGTTGAAGCTTCCCTCCTTGGGACAGAGGGAAGAGTCTTGAGTTGAAGCTTCCCTCCTTGGGATAGAAAGAAAAGTCTTGCTGAATTATGCACTTGCAACTAACAGTCACAGCAAAGAGGCAAGATAATTTCTTTCATATTCACACATCTTAAAAATACGAGGTGCTGTCTCCCTTTCTATTGCTTCCTGAGCACCCCCACACCAAGAATTAGGCACCGACAGCTGGCTTTTATAACCCTCTAAAACACGGCACAGGAACTGCTGCCTGCCATTCACCCACTGCCAGATAAATGACTGCTTGGACCTGAACATCCGTAGAAGTCCCTCTCCCTTACTCATGAAATGCCCCAGAAATTCATCCCCTTCATTTCGTGTGCTCTTTTCTTTGTTACTTACAGGACATGCTGCATGGCAGATGCTGTTTTTGTCACATTGCACACCTGCACGATATCAAGTACTTTCTGGAGGGTGGCATGAGGATCCCAGTTTTCTCTCAGGTCGAACTCAGTTCTGATTTCAAACCCATACTGTACCACTGCAAAATCGCACTGGAAGGAAGCGGCACATAAGCACCTGCTCGTGACAACTGTTGATTCAGAGAAAGAGGGTTCTCTGCAACAACTAGCCCAGAAATCCCAACAGAAACATTAGCCAGACTATGCGGAAAGGAAGATTTTTTTCAGGAGAAAGAGGCTTTTAACTATGGCTAGTGCAGACAAAGAGATTGTTGTAAGTATATTATAGCTGAGGAATACAAAAGCACTATCAGTACAGAGAGAAAAATTGTTCTAGGAAACACTGATTTGTTTTTAAGTCCTTGTATTTTCCTGCTATGTTTGGTCCATGTGCAGGTTGCAGGGATTATCTGTGGTATTACCGAATTGTTCCTTCATTGTTCCCTGCTGCACATCATCTTTCCTTGGAGTACTCCTGTTCCGTGATGATCTGATTATAAAAGACAGTCTGGAGAATAAGACCATTTCTTCATTTTATATTTGCACAACACATAGCATAATGTTTCTTCCTTCCACTATGCAAATAACAAATTAAAATATGCTGACGCTTGGAGCATTTGAGAGGTAGAGACTTTGCTAAAGTTGGTGTGTGGATCACACTTCTCAGCTTCAGCAGAGAAAGCAGTAGAGTACCTTCATGCAGAATACATGACTGGAGCTAGTGAGACTGGTGAGGTACATGGCTGAAGAGGCAGTCTAATTGGTGCTTCTGTGATTGCAGGTACAGATGTTACAATATAGGAATAGAGACAGGAAACCAGAAGAAAGTCATGACTTCACCTTACAAGCAAGCAGAAATGGTATTTGCTGGGCTCCAAGCATGGCAGCGTAGCAGAGCTAGGGATTTCTGAGAATACAAATCAGACTTTTTATATCTAGTGTTCTTGGGATCAAGACTGGGAATGTACTGCTAACATGTAAGCAAAATTATGTTGAGAATGCATGCAAGTTGTGGAAGTCTTTTTCCCTCCTAATGGAAACAAACCTGCATAGTCCCAAATTCTGGTGAAGAGGCAGCTTAAATAAAGCACAGTGCATTCTTTAGCCTGCTAAAGAAAGAAAGTAGAGAGTACCTCAAAGCACTTCTCATACAGTGTTTTCATCATCTTGTGGATGAATGCTTTTGCCCTTTCAAAATCCCCTGGATCAATGCTCCCTGATCCATCCAGGATAAAAGCAATCTCTGTTCCAGAAGCTGCCCAGGATATGGAAAGTAAAGGAATAAGGAGAAGGCAATCAGCAGTCTTGGTCTGGACCAAGTTTTTATCCAGTGTTATTGATCAATGCACAAGTAATCTCACTCAAACAAGCAACTGAACTGCACCAAGATTGCTCAGCTGTCATTTCAGCATGAGCTACAGCTCAGGTCTGGCAGCTCACAGTACAGCAACTCCCCAGACTTTGTCAGTCCATGGCATGATTCTGTTAAAAAGATACTTCACCACATACGCAAGCCATTTTCCTCCTCTTCCTCTTTGTCCTCCTCCATCCAGGAAGGGAGCTTGCTGTCACCACTGTCATCAGTGTTTCTGTGCTCTGGTGCTTCAATTGGAATATTTGCAGCTGAAACAGGAAATGGGTTTGAGCAAAGATGACGGGGCAGTGGGAGAGAAAGCAAAAGGTGAAAGAAAACCTTGCATTATTGCCTACACAGTGTCTGTGCACCTCACTGCCTGGCAGCTGAACTCTTCCTTGTCCCTGCAGTCAATATTGCTTTCAGCCGTAAGACTACAGATGCTATGGAAACATTTGTGAGTTTTGAAGGCTGTGGGGATCAGGACTGCGCCTTAAATTTACAGCTACAGTTCAATAGAAAGAAACTGCTCTGAGCACACCCAGAAGTCTAAGTATCATAACAGAAACACTGAACACGCGGTGAACGGGTGTATTGTAATGTACTTATTTCCATACTGATGTGATGGCTGCAGATCACAGATACAGAATATGATCTCTTGTCGTCCCAGCTGGCTGGCTGAGGAGGACTGTTACTAGTGTAACAGAAGTCACTTTCATTCGTTTTGCTGTTGCTGGGCAAGGGACTATGAGAACAGGTAAAATCTGGAGATGTATTTGCATTCCTTCAGCAATGAAACTACCCACCGTCACAGATCCACCTCTACAAGTTACAGAGAAGATAGATGTGTCAGGAGTAGGATTTCTTCTACCTGAACCATTCAGAGTCTCTCTCTCCAACTCTGAAAGGAAACTGTCAAAATCTTCATATGTGGACAGCATAAACCAGTCACTTCCAACTTTCTGCAACTCTTCTGGGACCCACTGGTTGCTAATGAACTCTCCAATCTAGGGAGAAAAGCCATCAGACAGGGAGATTGAACACATTCCATACACAGACATAAAACCCAACAAATTCCCAAATTGCCATTAAAAACTTGAAAACCCTGAAAAGGGAAGGAGTTTTCTGAAAGCTTGGTAGAGCAACCCTGATCCTAGATTCCATAGAAAGCATCTATTTGCAAAAAAAAGCTAATAAAAGCTCTAGAGCCACAGGACGTATACAACTTAAGCATCTTTGTTTCTAGGACATATTCCTTAACCTCATCCAAAATAAGCTCTCTGGCATCAAGAAGATGGAGGCCTGGGTGAAACAAGGGAGCCAGGGCATCTCAGATTGGACATCCTGCATGTCTAATGCATGACTTTTTTCTTCCACCCACCACTAAAGCATAAGAGCAGACAAATAGGATGGACAGAAACATCACTCCTCTACATATATGCTTTGATGCAAAAAACTGTGGCTTTGATGTTGTTTCCCACTCACCCCAGGAGCATAGAGTTTGACCATAGCCATTTCCAGGGAGTTCATCACATTTCTCAATCTATGGTTTTCCAGAAACACTTGCCCAGATGCCATGACAATGATTATCTTGTCACCAGTCTGGCTGGAGTCATGGCTTCCATCAAAGACTTTATCCCTGTGGAAACACAAGCCTAGAGGTGTTTCATGGGACAAGCCACATCTGCAAAGTTAAAAATGTCAGTGTTGGTGGCAGGGTGCTGATGTTCATCGAAGCTCTCAGCCCACAAGAATACAGATGTGCAAAGCAAACATGCACATTCACATGCACAAGGATTTGTGCTTTCCAGGGACATTGGCTATCCAGAACTGGTAGCTCTGACTTCATAAGCACTTTCACAAGCAGCATATGGGGCCTTTTTACAGTGCAGGTCAGTACTGTTAGAGTCATGCAACTGAGAAGAAAATGGAGCCAACAGGGAAAAAGCATGACTGCCAGAGATGCAGCAGATCAGTGAAAGAGATGGGAAAGGCCTTGGGTTTACAAATGAACACATGCTCAAAGCAAGATCCAGGTGACTGAATTTTCATTCTGAGGCCCCCATGTCAGCCAGGAAGGATTTCACACTTTGCCTCTTGGCAATTTCTCCTTGTCTACCTGATAGTTCCCCAGACACGCTTACTTACAGGCTTGACTCTTACTCAGCTGGCAGAGCCTGTCACTAAGAGAAGCATTGGAAAGGTAAGAGCTTCAAGGGTGTGAGATAAAGAAGAGTAGAGAGGAGGCACAGGAGGCTGGATCACTTGAGTGTTCCTGGAGCCTCTTGAGACATGGGAACTCACAACACATGCTGCAGTGTGGCTGCAATGTCAGTCCCTGAGCTCTGCTGCTTGATGTTTCGGACCTTGAAGAAAGCAGTTAGTCTGTTGCAGCTTTCTTGCAGGCTCAGTTCAGTTTGGATCTGTGCTCCATACTGCACTACAGCAAACCTGATCTGGAAAAAGAGATGACAGAGCCAGAGCTCGTTAGACAAGATATAAGGCAGGATCCCTAAGCCCTCAGCATGCCAAGTTTAGTCCCAAACTTTACTGCACAAACACAGAAAGCATATATTGCAAGTAATATGTAGATAGACTGTCTTTATCCCTCTGTCTCCATCACACATTTGTATTCTGGTGATCCCTTCAGGACCAGCTCCAGGGACTGACTTAATTTTCTTTGGCTCAAGACAATGATTTCTCTGTCTGAATTTCCTGTATTTATGTGTCTGGCTAGACCTTTCGTGACCACATGGCTCAGTCACACATTGTCCCCAGATTTATTTAAATCATTTAAAGTAATGGCTTATAAGCCTCACTCCTTATTTTTGTGTGCAGTGTTTCAAGGTGCCCTGAGAGATTTGCCTGGTAAAATATCTAAGCATGCTTCTGGCATGAAAACCCACTCCTACCTCTTCCATTTCCCTCTTCAGCTACTCCTCCTCCTCGGCTCACTAACATTTAACTCTTGCATTAGAATATGTAGAATTATTACCAGCACCACTGTGAAGTTTAAAAAGCAAGAATTATGTGAACCAGGAGACTTTCCATTCTTCATTAGAGCTCTGATCCATCCTGCCTATCAGATTATCAGACTCTGAGGAGGTTCACACACCTTTGAGCATTTCTGCCACATTGACTTCATCATATTGAGGATAGATGTCTTGGCATTTTGGAAATCATCTGACTTGGTGTTCTCTGATCCACCCAGAATGACAGCAATCTCTGTTCCCAGTTCTGTCAATGCAGTTAAACACAAAAGGACATTTGAAGGGGCACCTAAACAGCCTAACATTTAGCAAGGTTTCAAGAACATTGACATATTATTAAACAACCAAAAATTTGACTGCAGCACCATCCAGCGATTCCGAAAGCAGGTCTAGCTGATGATGTGGTTTACACTGTAGTGGCAGGTTTTATTTTTTAAAAATCCCAGTTAATGATGACTGTAATAATGACTGAAATTTGCCGTTACAAATAACCTTCAAAACCTCAACCTTTTCCCTCCCCAGCTCTCTCCCACCAGATGAATGCAAGCTGCTTCAAACTCAGCTAATACAGAAGAAAGTAATGTTTATTCCTGTCGAGTACGTACCTTTGCACATGTGGTTGTTCCCTGCGCTGCCCAAAAGCTCACCGCAAGCACTGCTGATGTCTGTGCTGACAGAGCTGCTGGTGTCGGTCATCTTGTCTCTGCTGTTTTTACTTTGAATGCTGTTTAATTTGGTCTCAACTAAAGAATTGTAAAAGGAAGAAACAAATACTCTCTATCTTTTGAAAATACTCTTCTAATTAACACACCTTAAACTCAGGATCTGTTTCCACCCAGGTTCCCAAATTTAGGAGACCTGAGGATCAGACTGTTAACAGCAGTTAGACAACTGAAGATGGAACGAGACCATCTAGGTGTCTAATTTAAATTTCTCGGCTTCTTTGCAGTGACAGCAAGAAGCAGAGCAAGTTAGACAAACAGACCAGCTCTCTGCTCCCTTCATTAAATGCCCAATAGCCCAGTTAAGTTGGAAGGAATAGCCTTGAGTGCCCAGGCACCTTTAAAAATCCCCGTGGATGTTTATCACATCCATCCACTAAAAATGTCAATGCTTTTCTAAATTCTGGCTTAAGAACTGGATCTTTTGGATGTGTGGGACACCACAACAGAAAATCCCTGCTGCTGTGTGCTAGTCTTCAAGGCTGAACCTTGTAACCCTGTTGAAGTCACTATGATACTGTTAAAATTCAGTTTTTAGTCTCTGACTGTAGACCTTGCTGGCTAGGAACTCAGAAGGCCCCTGCTATTAGAGCAGAGCCTCGTGCTGTTGCTTCTCTCCCTCTGCAAAGGCATGGTACTGGCTTTGCTCCTATACCGATCTTGGTGAGGTTGAGGAAAGCTGTGCTGCGCAAGTCAGTGGTGAGCAGAGTACAGACTCCATTCATGTCCTCGGTAGTGGTGAAGGCTCGGCGGTGCTTCTTCTGCAGGCAAGCCTGTAGGGGTGGCAGGAAAGGCTAATGAGCGATGAACAAAGCCGTAGAGAGAGGATGATTGAAGATGCCATCTAGCAAACATTCAGCATCCCCTGCGCAGCATCGAAAGACTCCTAGCGAGAGTAAAAAAGCACCTTCCCTGATGTGATGCCCACCACATCAGGTCACCCAGGACTTCAGCCCTGAGCTGAGGCAAAGAGTGGGGCTGGGGGGGA